CTTGAAAGATCCAGGATTGCCACAGGCTGCTTCAAAGTGTGTGTACGTCTACCATCAGTCAGCATCAGTTCTTTACCCACAGTTTGGCATTTCATAATGGGAATTTCTAGTGCTATTCCAGGTTTCTTTTCTTTTTAACATATATTTTTTAAATTTGTTCTAATTAGTTATACTATTCCAGGTTTCTGACAAGGTAATGATTTGGATTTTAGAAGTTCTCAATGTGCCAGATAGTGATGTTGTCACTCCTGTCTACTAGGATAATGACTAGTTCTTTCTTCTATATCTACCCCATGAGTGACACTCAGGTTTCTTAACAGCAGTTCCATTCTGGGCTCAGTTCTCAATCTAGTCTCAGGGACCTTCCTAAGAGCTTATGTTGGTGTCTTTGTGTGTTAGGATTTCTAAAGTGCCCTCTAAGATGTTATCTCACGTATATCAACCTCTATTATCAGTACAATTTGTCACTTGGTCCTGGGAAATCTCTGGAATTCTTGACATTTTCCAGTCTGATGATGCCTTTGTTGTTCTTTTGCACAGACCCAGTCCTGCAGGTCCCGACGCACGTTGAAGAGTAAGTTTTCTGATTTGTTCTATATTTCCCTTTAATTCATTATCTTATTCATTCAATCAACATTTACCAGGCTAATTGCTGGGAGTACATACAGACACAAGTTTAAGGTATAAGAAGAATTAGTGAGGTATATAGAATGCTACAGATGATATGATGGGGAGAGGGTGCTGTGATCCTTGGGGAGAAGAGGACAATGTGTTAAAAAGAGTTTATCTGAGATGAACCTTAAGTTGAGATTTGAATTTAAACTTCCAAAGTCTGTATCTCTTGCTGGGTGTGGTGATACACTCTTATAATCCCAGCTACTCAGGAGGCTAAGGCAGGAGGACTTTAAGTTTGAGACCAGCCTGGACAACTTTGCAGACCCCATCTCAAAATAAAAAATAAAAAGGGCAGGGGAGTGTAGCTCAGTGATAGAGTACCACTGGGGTCAACCTCAATACTGCAAGAAAAAAGGAATTTTGGATCTCTCCCTCTTCAAAGTCATACAGAGGAGAAGACTGACCTACTTCTTGAGTATATGTATTACAAGGAAATCCAGATATCCCCTGTACAGATGATGGCATGTCCTAAATTGCACAGGGACTCAGCCAGGGATTTTTGGGTGACTCTCATAGTTCAGTCTTTAGCAGATTAACTGTACGGAGGACCACCTCCCATTGGTTTAGTGGGAAGCTGCTGACAGAGATCCCAGTTCATCTCCCTGTCGAGTTCTCTGACGTCAGGTTTTCTGAGTCTGCTTTTATTGCCTCCATTTGAAAAATAAACATTTGTTCAAAACTGAAGTTAGATTTGTTCTACTTGTTTATATACCATGACATACTATTAAATATTAATTGTTGATGTTCTGTGCGCAGTTGAGGAGGTGATTGGAAAGTAGGCGTGCTAGGTCCTTTTCACTTACCCTACCCTCATTCAGAGTGCTTTGACCAAATGACAATTTATCTTCTACGGTTTCTAATGATCCTTCCTTTGTAGGTTGTTTTTCTCCACTTATACCATAGGGTGTTTTATTTATTTGTGGCTGACATGAGAGAGCAATAGGTGGAATTGTCTTCTGCTCACTCACATCACACCCACTCCTGCTGCATGGTGACTTTGCATGGCCTTGATATTTAGTTGTGTGCCCTGGGCTATACTTCATCACTAATACTTTTTATTTCATCTCTAGGCCTGCTTTCCTCCCAGATCCCAATGATGGCAGCCTGTATACACTTGGGGGCAAGAATAATGAAGGCCTAACGGTGAGGATATTTAGCTTCTTTGTGTACCCTGGAGGGTTCTTAACTGTGTCCTTAACTGTGTCTGCATGCCAAGGCCTGGGAGTTTGAAACAGACTTCTGAGGATTTGATTCAGGCAGTCTGGAGTGGGGCTTTGGCACCAGTATCTTTTCACAGTATCTTTTCAAGTGAGTTTTTAATGAGCGTCCAGAGTTCAGAAACAGACCCAGACCAGCAGATGCTGGTGGCCTAGCCAACACACTGGAAGGATAGAGGGGTCTCTGCAGTGACAAGATTGGCTCCAATCAGAGACATTCAACTTGGGAGGAGGGGGTGTAGTTTGAAACACTGTCTCCACCACCGTCCCATCCTTCAGAGAGACTGTAGTATTCACCCTGTCTCCATTTGAGAATCTAGATCTGTGTTTGTCACCCTTTGCTTCACATCATGATAACCTGGGGAAACTCTGAAAAATGTCTGAGCCTAGATCTCAGTCCAGGAAAGTCCCAATTTCATTGATCTAAGACATAAGGATTAAAACAAAACAAAACAAAACTTCCCAGTAATAGAAACAGACCCACATACATGGGTACCTGATTTATACAAAGGTATTTATACAGTATGGTGGGTAAGGAGGCTCTTTTCAGTGAATGGTATAAGTCAACTGGGATATCCATAAAGAAAAAAAAATAGCTTGACTCCTACCCCACATTGTCCACTTGAAAATCAGTTCCAGACAGATTTAAAACCTAAATGCAAAATAAATAAATAATAAAGCTTTAAGGAAGAGTAGTGAAACATCATCACGACCTTAGAGTAGACAGAATAGAATATAAAAAAAATTAACCATAAATCTAGGCAAAAAATGATTAAATTAAGAACTTTTTACCCTGAAAAAAGGAAACAACAGAGTATTTATGTTCTATTTAACTGTTGAAGGATTCAAATTCAGAATATTTAAGGAGCTCCTGTGGACTGTTAGAAAAAGACAGATGACCCAACAGAAATGGAAAAGAGGACATTTAAATGATGAATAAATATATGAAAAGGTCATTAGGGAAATTCAAATTAAAATCACAGGGCTGTGCTGTTACTCAGTGTGCATACAGCTGTTCACCAGCATGATTAAATGAGAACATTAAAAAAAAAAGGGGGGGGGGAAATGCATGGTGGGATGTAGAGCAACCAGAACTGCATCCTCTGCTGGTGGAGATAAAAGGTGGCACAACTTGTTTGGGAAACTGTTTGGCAGCATAGAGTCCATACAACCTGGTAACCATCACCCAATATAAACTCAACAGAAATGCATGAATTTATACCACATCAGACACCACCCAAATGTAGAGCAACAGTATTTATAATAAACAAAAAGTGGAAACTAGCCAAATAACATCAACGGTAGAAAGGGGTAAATAACGGGAAGCTGGGGGTGGTAGCACATACCTTTAATCCCAGGGATTTAGGAGACTGAGGCGGAAAGGTTATAAGTTTGAGGCCAGCCTCAACAACTTAGCAAGTCCCTGTCTCAAAATAAAAAAAGAAAATGGAGTGTGCCACTGGATTTGATCCCCACTACCACAGGGAGAGGATAAAAAAGACTTGAAGGCAATGTTTGCAGATTTGTTACAACAAGGATCCGAGTTAGTCAAAAGTACAAAATAAATGTTTAATAAATAAGTACAGAGACAGTCATGCAGTGAACTCTGTGACAGTGAGAATTAACAGTGTGTGACCTTACACAACATGGATCTATCTCACAAATGCAATGTGGAGCCAAAACATCACCAAAAAGCTACATTCCAAATGATTAATTTATATAAAGTTCAAAAGCAGGAAAACCTACTCTGTGTTGTTTTGAAGTGAGGATAATAGTTGCCCCAAGAGTTAATGGCTAAAAAAGGGGCACAAGAGGGATCTTCAGGAGTGCTAGAAATGTTTTCTTCATCAGGTGCTAATACCATGAGAATATTCACTGAGGTGTGATTAATAATTACTGAGGTGTGTGATTGTGTTTTTCTGTTTGTGTATCATGTGATTCATAGAAAGTTTGAGAGATTCTAAGTTTATGAGATTCTAATACATAGCCAATGATGAGAACCATTGGTCTAAACTGTAAGTGGATTATGGGTACTAATTTGGGTATTTTAAAATTAGTTTTTGAGCCAGGCATTGTGGTGCATACCTGTAATTCCAGTGACTAAGAAGTTGAGGCAGGGATATTGCAGATTTGAAGGCCGCCTCGCAATTTAGTGAGACCTATCTCAAAATGTAAAAAATAAAATAAAATAAAAATATCTTGGCACATCCTCAGCCCTATTTTGTATTTTATTTAGAGACAGGGTCTCACTGAGTTGCTTAGTGCCTCATTGTTGCTGAGGTTGGCCTTGAACTGGTGATCCTCCTGTCTCAACCTCCTAAGCCACTGGGATTACAGGTGTGCGCCGCCAAGCCCCACCACCTGGCAGCATTTCTTAAGCACCTTGTTTGTCAGAAAATGTTGAGCCTCTCAGCAGCCCATAGATGTTTTCCCCATTTTAGAAACTGAGCCCAGAGAAGTTAGGGAATAAGTCTGAAGCTTTTAGGACTGGAGTTGGGATGTAAAGACGTCTAATTGAAGAGGATGCTCTTAACAACCACCGTGCCTTCCTATGTATTGTGGCTTAGTAATTCCAGAGATCATAGGTTTCCCAGCCTGGGCCTAAAAGTAGGAGGGCTGTGGCAGTGCTCAGTTCAGGGCCCAGGACTCCAAACCAGAGGACTGGCAACCACTTTCTGATTATCAGAAACATCTGGCAAAAACCCAGGCATTACTGCCTCCGAATGGCATTTTGCCTTTTTTAAGGCTTAGTTTGAATGTTGAAATGGCAGGAATATCCAAATTATTGATTCAGTTTATAGTTCTGTTTATCAATGCTACAGAGAAATCTTCTCTTGGAGAAAAAGTGGCAGCATTGTAGCCTGGAGTTTCTGTAACAGCAGTATCTGTAGAATGGTTTCAGAAACACAAGAGTATTCCAAAAATAAAGTGTACTGAAACGAGCATAGACCAAAAGGACTTGTCAGATGTCAGCTGTAGACGCAGAAGAGTCAGTTTTATGATGAAACATGTTGAAACATTTGGATTTCTTTTGGTTTCTTTTCCTGGCACCTACCATAGCTTCCTTTTTCAACCAGAAAGCTCAATTTTCTTGTTTTTCAGTAGAGAATGATTTACTGAAGGAAATACCAAACTTCTTTTTCCACCTCCAACTCTTGTGTTGCCCATGTAATGGTGCCTTTTTTCCCTCCAAGCTTGAAGCTTGGTTGCAAGGTTGTTTCTCTTTAGCATTAAAATCATGACCTCCTCCCACCTCTAAAAGGCATCATCATCCTTCTACCTAGTCTAGCCAGCTCTGGGTCACTTTTCCAAGGTGGGAGAATCCTTTCCACTACCCTTAGAGCTACCAAGATAGTGTAATTCTCCATATTTGTGTTCTCTTCTCAGAAAAGGCTTATGTCACTCCTGGTAAGTGCCTGGACAGAAAGCCTGGCCTCCTGTGTCAAGTGAAGGAATTAGTATTTACAGAGTTCAGAGGCTAAGGCCTTTCAGTAGTGGATGGAAACA